CCTATGCACAGATTACAACAGAGGAGGAGGCTCTATGGGAGATTGATGTCAACCTTTTCCTTTCGGAGGAGACTTCTGTCACGGCTAACTACACCCCTCGAACTTGCAGCGGAGATCTAGCGATTAAGGCTGGTGAATGGCTGAAGGGTACAGCTGCCGAGGGTCTCCTGGGCTACATGAACACCGTCTTTGCTGATTCGTCTGTCTCGTGAGTATCACTCTGTATCTCTGCTGTGAATTATATTGACCATGATGCAAATAGATGGAAATCACGGGAAGCTTCCCTGTATATTCTCAACTGTCTGCTTCGAGACTTCGGTGAAGTCGATCAAGAGATCTCACCTGAGCTGGCATCTCACTTCACTCAATTCGTGCAATATGCGACCCAACAAGAACAGGAGCTCTTGCGCGCTCGGGGCTACCTTGTGGCTGGCGCTTTGTCCAAGGTCGCCGGCAAGGCATTCCAACAGACCACATCATCCTATTTGGAGGCTACTTTGAAGGCGATCGCCGAAGACCCCGCCGAGGTGGTCCAAGTGGCCTGCATCCGGGTGCTACAAGATCTGATGCCCGCTCTGCCGAAGGGCTTGGCCCGCCCCTTCCAGCCTGCAGTGATTGCGGCCATTTCAGAATTCATATCTGCACACGACCTTCGTGAACAGACTGACTCCGATGATCTTAAGGTTACGTTGGCGGAAACTCTCCGGGACACTATTATGGCCGATTCTAGTGTGGTTCTATCATCTACTGCTATCGACGTGTTGTTCAACATTGCTAGTAGCGGAGCCGAAAACTTCCAATTGACCTTGACTGTCACAGAGGCATTTGAAGATATTGTGGACCAAATTACCGATAGTGGCCCCGATTCTTACATGCGTCTTTGCGAGAAGGTGCTTCCCTCGTTGATGGGCGCGATTGATGTGGGCAATCTGACTGAAGAGAATGCTTTGACAAACTTCGCGGCCGATCTTCTTCGCGCTCTAGCCGAGCGGAGTCCTGAGCCCATGCCCGCTGGTTTCGTGGAGACGGTGATGCCCAAGTTGAATCGCCTGCTGCTGAACTCTGATGAGGCCGAATTAATCCGGCCCGCCACAGAGGCCGTACGGCACATGCTCTCTCACGACTTTGCGCAGTTCATTGCCTGGCGTGATCCTCAATCTGGGAAGGAAGCACTTGAAGTTGTTTTGGTCATCATTGACCGCCTGCTGGGCCCGGCCGTGGATGACAACGCAGCCACAGAGGTCGGCCAGCTAGCAGCAGAATTGGTTGAAAGGGCCGGCTCCGAGCGCCTCGGTCCTTACCTGCCGCAGCTCCTGCAGGCCGTGGCACAGCGATTGGCGACAGCACAGCAAGCGCAATTCATCCAAAGTCTCATTCTCGTCTTCGCGCGACTCACTCTCATCAGCGCACACGAGGTAGTCGACTTCTTGGCCCAGGTCAACCTAGGCGGCCAGAGCGGACTCACCGTGGTGCTGAGCAAGTGGCTTGAGAACTCCGTCAACTTCGCCGGCTATGATGAGATTAAACAGAACATCTTCGCCCTGGCACGACTATACGAGCTTGCCGACCCACGTGTGGCCGAAGTGCCCGTCAAAGGCGACCTCATCATCCAGGATACCGGGCGAATCAAGACCCGCTCGCAGGCACGCAAAAACCCAGATCAATTCACAACAGTGCCCGCACCACTGAAGATTATCAAAGTTCTGGTCGAAGAGCTGGGTGCAGCATCCGGCAATAAAGAAATCGATGCCGCCACTGCGGCCCTGGATGACGCCGACAGCGACGACGATGATGACGACTGGGAGGATCTCCCCAGCCAGGTCTTGGACCTCGGCATCGGAGCCACGAAACAGGGCCTGCTGAATTTCGGCGAGGGCGGCTCCGAGAGTGTCTTTGGTGTGCGTCGCCGAGACGATGAAACGCAGGGCTTCCTGGTGGATTTCTTCCGACAGGCCTCCACACAGCCTGGTTTTCAAGAATTATATGCAGCGCTGACTCCGGATGAGCAAGCTAAGCTGCAGAGTCTGTGAGTGCAGCTGGCTGTGGTTGCGAGTACCCTTCCCCGAGCCCCGGGTTATTAATGGTTTGATGCATGGATGCCCATAAAACATACAAGGACTTGTATCTGTCGCTTGTACAGAGTACACATACCTTTTTTATTTATTTTATTTGCTTGCTACTTGCTCCGTACTGTAGAATGAGCATTAGCAGATCCTTGTGGTATGGATCCTGGTAGTTTCCGGTCTGGGCCGAACTGGGGCGATCCACAAATGCCAGTTCTTTGTTTGCACCCCTGTACTCCGGACTCCGTAGTCCGTACACCGTATGCTCATCTGCAACATTTTGTTTCTTTGTTGATTAACTTCAGGCTAGAGGCCTAGCCATTCGAAGTATGACAAGAGATAATGATAGGTAATTTGGAGTGGTATAATTTCATATATAGCTGGTCTCCTCCTACCTTATGTAATCTCCAACATAATCCGAAGCCAAAGTACATAACTACTATGGAAAAGTGAAGCGACGAGTCAGGACATCCCTGTCTCTGCATGTGCCATTCCTTCCAGTCGGAACCACTCAGGGTTTATCCGTCCCGTGTGGGGATGTACCAGACAGCCGGGTCTAAGATCAGGGGTGATCCTTGCTTTAAGTTTTGCCTTTCCTTTTTGCTTCTGGCGAATATTCCTTTCATCTGTCCCAGGGTTCCCAGCTGAGTTGGGCACTCATACTCTTACAGCACCTCTCGGCTTCCTCTTCTGAGTTAGTGCTTACCTTTTACCGCTTCGTTGTCAAACGGAGCACGCCATTACCTGTAGGGATCCACCTGGGCAGGGCAGGGTCCCGGAGTTAAATTTAGCCATACTACTCCGTACTCCGTAACTAGCTACAACATACAAAGAGAGGAAGGGAAACCAAAAATAGATGATGAATATCCAATATCTCCGGATAAATCATTTCCATGTCATCAAAATTGCAACAATCAAGGATCTCGTCAAACAATCTACTTTTATAAGGCGATAAAGAGAGGGTTTCAAGATTTCGACATCGAACTCCCATATAACGCCCAATCCACTGTGATTGTTTCCTGTTAATAATTGAAGAGAAACAAACTTCACTACTGTGAGGATAGTCGGCTGCTTATGCGGCCTTCTCAAGTCTTCTCGGGTAGTATTTTTAAATGTCCTTTTTGCCCTTCTCAATTTTATAGGTAGATGGCTGAAAAAGGTGGAAAAAATTGTCTGTTTCTATGTACAACCAATTTCGTCTCACAATGTTTTCAATGAGAATTGACCTTACGCTGCTGCTCGCGGTGACTACCTCTTCTGACTACCAATCTGGCCAAACTCAGCAGCGGTCCTCGGCCTGAATTAGTTTACGGGTTTATTACTCTGATCTAGCTTTCACTCTACGAAGGCTCCATTGCTCCTTCCTTCAGGCTGAAGTTAAGAAGGCGAAGACGATACCCCAAAAAAGACATGCCCAGGTCGCATAAGCGATCGACTACTCTTCCTCGCCTTTATAGTTTCCCGGATTTAGGAATGCATATCACCGCCCAATTCTTAAATGCTCGACCTATCAAGCCATGATGAGACTCACTACTAGTAGCCAAAAAAAATAGATTCATACCTAGATAGATACGTATCATTAGCAAGTGTCGGGAAAGTGTTGAACATTGATTTTCTTCTAATCTTGCAGAGCATGGTCCATTCATGCTATGGACAGACTAGCCATTTGCAATACTAATTAAAGATCACTTTCGTGCCGTAGGTTTAGCTAGAATAGAAGTGACTTACATCGAATCTATCCCTAAAAAGCTTCGATGTCTTGCTTATGTCTTCGCAAACTAGACTGATGTCGTTTCTGAATGCTTGATCAAGACCGACCGGCAGTTGTCATGAAATAAAGGTGCCTTAACTAACAGGCTTATTGCTGACCATTCTATACCAAGGGCCGAGATTTTCTGTGTTACTGTCGCTTTCAATATTGAAAGCTAATTCAAGAGCCTAGTCAAACTTGGTTACAGCAATATCTGACAACTGGATCCTGTTTGGAGCCCAATGCACTAAAATCTAGTCTAGCGAGAACACTCAATGTAGAACTTAGATTCGCATGCTCGGTATCTTGCTGTCCAGGGAGAACGATGCCTAATTTTCATCCCCAAGATAGGTACCTTCCGTGGGGCTATCCATGGTGTGGCTAATATATCCGGAGGCCTGTGATTTGAGGATCGGGAGCAAAGATATGATCAGTACTAGTCAGAACTGAGGTGTTCGATCGATCGGGACAGATGATGATCCTAGGAACGATACCTGATCTCTGCAGGGTCCCTTTCTCCGCTTTCACACATCTGGCAGAACCTGATTTTCCCCAGTCCCTGGAGCGATCATCATGTCAACATATGACGTCTCACGCAGGGCATAAACTTTTTGGAACCAAGTAAGAATGCCACATTGAGGACTCAATGCCTAGAAACTCTTGGTCATGGCCTGAATTCACGTATTAGAAAATTGTCTAGTAGATCGCAGTACTAGGATGTTGGGTTATCGTGGGCGCTATGAGACTGTCTTGGAAGGAAGACCCAGTACAGTGGGCCAGCAGTAACCTAATCCAAGTTAACCAGGGTTGAGATCCCGGGAATAACCCTGGAACCCTGGAACCTTGGAACCTTGGAAATGTAAAATCGAAAATCCAAAATCCAAATTCGGGTCAGACCGATTTGGAATGGGCGACTTTCCCGTACCAGGCTGTCGGATTTCCCACCTGCGGGGTCAACAAAAGCAAAGGTACGGAACCGGCCAGGTGGTAGAAAAAAACACAGTGGCTACGCTAGGGTTCTCCCCGGTATCCTCTCTCTCGGGTTCCTTTCCTTGGTTAGAATTGATAGCTTCATTTCACTTCCCCCCTCCTCCACTTTCTCTCTTCATAGCGAAAAAAATAACTTCCCTCTCTCTTTCCTACCTTTCCTCCTTCTAATCCCTCTCCCTCCTCCTTTCTGTCTCGCCATGTCACAACCCAATCTCAATGAACGCATCCAAGTCGACGTAAGTAGATCATTCCCTCTCATTTGTTCAATCTCATTCCTATCCCATATCCCTATACCTTCCAGAACCCCAAAACAGGTCCCCCTTGGGCCTCTTTGCTAAGCTCACAACCCCGATTCCCGCACTTCCTAATCAATAATTCAATCTCCAATAAAACCCCCAACCGCCACTAACAACCCCCCAGACAAGCGATGATGACTCTCTCTTCGACATCGAATCCATCTCAGGCTCAAACCTTTCATTTGCATCCTCCGTCCGAGACTACAGCTACGAAAATGGCCGCCGCTACCACGCCTACCGCAACGGCCAATACCCCTTCCCAAACGACGAAGAAGAACAAGACCGCCTAGCATTAACGCACCACCTCTTCAAACTGCTCACAGGCGGCAATCTGCACCGCGCACCAATACAAGACTCCGACCCGCGCCGCATTCTAGACATCGGCACTGGGCCCGGCGAATGGGCCCTGGAAATGGCCGAAGACTACCCGCAGGCGGACATCATCGGCACCGATCTCAGCCCCATCCAGCCGAACTGGGTGCCGCCTAATTGCCGCTTCTATATCGACGATGCGGAGAGTGATTGGACTTTCTCGCCCGGTGAGGCGTTCGACTATATCCATGCAAGAACTATGGCGGGCGGGATTGAGGATTGGCCGAAGCTGCTCAAGCAGGCTTATCAGCATCTTAAGCCGGGCGGCTGGTTTGAAGCGCAGGAGTTCGAGCACTGCGTGCGCTCCGATGATGGGACCCATGAGCGCGCTACTGCTATTAATAGCTGGGCGGAATTGTTGACCCAGGCTAGTAAGAAGTTTGGGAAGCCGATGGATGTTGCATCGAGCATTTCGGAGTGGATGACTGAGGAGGGGTTTGCAAATGTTACTGATGATATCTATAAGGTATCGCCCCTGTTTTTTCCCGGCTGTTGTCTCGCATACTGACTTACTTTCAGAGTCCTGTCGGTGGCTGGGCCAAGAACCGCCGTTACAAAGAAATCGGTCGCATCGGCAAGGTGTCTATTATGGAAACCATTGAGCCGTACTCACTGGCTCTCTTTACCCGTGTCCTGGGTCTCTCGTACCAGGATGCACAAGAGCATATGGAAAAGGCGCGCGCGGAGTTGATGAGCGGTTCGCACCACCTCTATGTGCGCTTCCACTTTGTCTACGGCCAGCGGCCTTTCGACGATGAACCCACTCATTCCGAGGCTCCCTGAGACTTGGGGCTGTGGCAACAATGATTATCAATGAGACACTACGACCTAAAATTAGGATTGAGAATACCTCTATCCCTATCGACCTCTCCGATTTCTGGCAACATGCTTGATGACTATATTTCTGCCCATTAATGTACGAAGGTTCTATGTACTATATTGTTTGTTCCACTTATGTTCATATTCATGTGGACATGGATATCGTGAAGCATCCGGAAGTTGATGTGGTGCGGTGATTATGTCCCAGACGGTCCCACCATGACTTCACTTGCCCGGTATCGGCCAGCGACCCGGGCTATATGACCGACATATCCAAGTGGGGGTTTCAAATACTCAGCTCCGAACTTGACCCGGGCCACTTGATTTCAAGGCATTCGGAATATGCACACACAACTGACCTAGGCCTGCGACCGGGCTCGGGTTGAGGGTGCGCTTACGCCGTCGCAAGCCGCCCAGTCCCAATCCCGAGAACCTGACACACACCCGAGACAGCTTCCTCCGGTGAAGGGCTTGTCCGCAAGACCTGAATCACCTGAGGTAAACGTTGCTCGTCACAGCTGCCAATTGTTTCCAGCAGGATCTCTAGCAGTTCCTGTTTCCCCTCGCCCTTCCATGAGCTTGGCATCGAGTTCATGATGGTTGTTGGTGAAGGACGGTCCTGGGAATTAGGGCCGGCATGGCTTGAGGTATCGTCTGCCAAGTGTGTCGGGGCGGGTGGGAAGAAGGGCGCACCTGCATAGGTGTTGATGTTTGTGTTGGCAGTGATGTTGGTGAAGGGGATAGTAGAATAATGAGACGGGGTTTGGTATATATGCGTTTGCGGGAATTGGTTCGGACTCGGATTCGAATTCCCGTATGCATCTTGCCCCCAATGGTGAAATGCATGAGGCCTGTCATATTCATTCCGTATTGAGTATTCTTCCCCGTAATGTGGTACTGTTGATGTGAGTATGGGTGCGGGATATCCAGTGTGTTGTAAGTATGGTAGTGCTTCTCCGTCAAGCATGTAATTATCGCTATTGACTCCATATATCGACGGGTAGTGCATCCCTAACATTGCATCCTGCGCGTGTAACGCGTGCACTGGGAGACCCTGCATCGGTACTGAGACGGTTCCGGTCATGGCCCCCGGAGGGAAGGTCACGCCTCCTGTATAACAACCGAACATTGTCGTATCTTCTACAGTATCTGCCTAGAGTTAGCATAGGCGCCAAAAAGAAGTGAAACAAGCAAAACATACTTCTACAAGCAAGGGGTTGAACTGTAGGCCCATCTAGCTCCGCAATTTGCGGCGGATACCCCGTCGCGATAGGACAAGCCGAAGTAGAAGTCGACCGCGACGAAGCGGATGTCGACCTGGTCCCATTCTCACTCCCCGTACTATCAGGACTCGTCACAGTCACAGAGTTCGTGATGATCGATGATGCTGGCGATGACCCGCGCCAGCTACCTTCACCAGTATCCGGGGTACCTCCAGCCGAAGCAGAACCAGCGCCATTGCCATTGCCATGACCATGGTTGTCGTAGTTGTGCGCAGGCGCATGAGGCCCAGCCCCTTGGCCCGGGCGCTCGTGCTGGCTCTGGGTATCACCCGGCTCTCGTGAACCCCGGTTCAGGCGCTCCCGCAGCTGTGAAACTTCGCGTCGTAGTTGGTTTATTATCTCGGATTGGCTGATATGGGCGCGATCTTCAGCCGTTGTTAGGTAGGTACACTCTGCTTCGAGACCGCGGATTATGCAGGCGTGGCATGGGACGGAGCGGTCGCACTGGTGATAAGAGAGAGTGGTTAGTGGCTTGGGAATTAATTAAAGAATCCATAGGTGTGAGTAGAGATAGGAACAGAGGATCCGGGTACCTTCACTTTGCGCTCGCGACATCTGAGGCACGACTGCTGCGGGCGTATCTTTGTCTTGGAGTCGGGCATTGCGGCAATGCCACTCTACGGTATTGCAACTCCGTGCGGTGAAGATCAATCCCCCAGAGATTCGGAGAATTTGTTGAAGTTGGGTTCCACTCGAAGGGTCCCAGTTCTCCATGCAGGGTCAGTCAGCTGTTGCCCCGTATTCCAGGGAAATGTGATGGATCGTATTTCAGGTCCATATTTTTCTCTCTATGTTTTCCTCTGCACTCTGATTGGGTGCAGTTCGCAATCGCAATTATCTTCTGAAGATAGAAGATAATCAAGAGATCAGTACCTTCGAGGAACTCTTGTGTTGTATGCAGAGCTATGCTACTTCATCTGCAATGATTGAAGTCGATATATGCTACTTTATTAAATATGTTCTATGTCGATGTTACCGTCGCAACGCTTATCACGTCCCCTGCGATTGCCGTAGATCGCAGTTCATGGAAATGCGACGTCGGTGTGGGGAATCCTTGAAAGGGACCTCGGGACCTCGGGGGCTAGTGAGTTAGTGAAGGAAGTGAGACAGTGAGACAGTGAGCTAGTGAGCTACTGAGCTACTGAAGGAAGTGGACCACGTGAGCGAAGGGAGTATAGGTAGTATGTGCTACATACCATCAAACCATAGTCATTACATCTTTTCCCGTTTCGCCTATACTTCCCTATTGCGAAGATAACATGAAGCCCTTCCCGCCCACAAGCTGGCTAACCCGGAGCATGGCCTCCTGCTGTTCCCACTGCTACCAGTGCAAGCCTCGATAGAGAACCCAGTCTTCGCCCGAGCACCCAGATGGGGTCCAACAATTGGGTGCTTCGAGTGCAATCTGAATGAGACGCTTGTCAGCGAAACAGCACAAGCAATACTGAGCCGCGGCCTCCTCGGATAAAAAGTATCATCATTTATACATTCTGCTCTGTACATTCTGCCCTATACACAAGATAACCAAATCCGTCGTTAAGTACATACAAACAAGAATTTCAAACTTTCGAAAGAAACCTTGAAATGTCTACCCCTGCAAAGAAAATCCAACCCCCTCCCCAGTCCCCATCTCAACAAGATTAGCCCTCATCTTCTCAGGCCTCTCCCCAAGTCCAAAAGCAGCATCATCACGACGAACCCAAGCCCCAACCCCATGCTGCAGTACCGCAGTAGCCCTAACCTTCTTCTTCTCCTCGGCATCATCACCCCCATCCTCACTGTCAGAAGCCTTCAATCCAAGACTTCCATGCAAAGTCAACCTGGTCTCAACCCCACCCTCACTCTTTCCCCGATAAATTCCACGATGCAAGATATTACTATTATAAAACACTGCATCTCCAGGCTGCAATTGAACAACCAATTGATCCGGCAACTCAGCCGCATAAGGATCCGCATCACGCTCGACCTGCGTGCGTGCGCGCGCATGCGTCCCCGGCACAACAATCAGCGATGCATCGGGGCACAGCGCCAAGTTGTACTGGCAATGCGACTGACGGCCGCCAGGCGCCTTAGCCGCAAGCTGGGCAAGTTCTTCCTCGGCGGTGGCGTGCTCGGAGATATCGTCGCGGTGCCAGCGGAGCTCGAAGTCTTTAGTTTCGGGCGCCACGAGCAGATTGAACAGTTCCATGACGAGGGGCTCGGTCTCGCTGCTGGCGGCGTTTTCAACCCCCATGAGCTCCTCCGCGACGGCGAGAATCGTGGGAGAGAAATAGCATCGTGCGAAGCTGTCCCGTCCTGGCATTTCGGGGTGCATTAGGTGCTGCACGCCCCAGATTCCGCCCTCCGAGGCGGGCGGTACGGTTGTCGGCCAGGGTGGGAATTGTTTTGGGACGGTGCGGAAGTGTGGCCAGCCTCCATTGCGAGTCATGGTTGTGGCTTTTGTGGCAATTTCGTGGTAGTGCGCTACCTCGGCTGGAGTCAGGAGGTTGCGGACTACCACGAAGCCATCGCGTTTGAGGGCGTCTAGATTTGGGGTGGACATGGTAGGAATGTTGAAAGAGGAATGATTTCTGGAATCTGCAAAATATCTGGAGATCTTGAAGTCAATATATATCTGCGGGGGTGGATATACACAATACGACGCAACAGTGTCGCATCTGCTTTTCTGGGGACTCAATGCTACCGTGGATCTCCAGATGTGACCTTTCCCAAGGTTATCGTTATCTCGATGTATATGTTTTTATCCGCTGTGTGTACATACATATGTAGTATTTATCTGATTCTAATAAATAAGCAAACAACTTAACAGCATAACAACATAACAAACTCATACATTGTCTTGTTCCTAGACGTCATGAGGATCAACGCCAAGAATAGCCAAGAGCCAGAGGGCTGAGTCCTCCCACAGTGTGATGTCGCATTTGATCTTTTTCTCTTGGATCCCTTTGTTCATACCTCTCTAGCTTCTGCTTTTTTTGCGATATTCCATATTATCCCCTCGAATTCCAAGAAAAATACAACCTCGGTGCAGATATCACCCCCGCCATGCCCCTCCTTCACGTGGGCTCCGCCCTGCTAGTATTGTTCCTGATACTCCCGCAAGTACATGCCTTCGGAGCTGGAAATATCGCCTCTATCTCTGCTGTAGAAGGCAAGAACTGGCGCCATGGTGATATCGAAGATGTCCTCAAGACGCTGGCTTTCATCTCCGGCCACAAATGGACCTCTACCATGATCAAGCGCGTGTATTTTGGTAACTGGTTGCGCGATTAGTGAGTTATCAAAGAATCCAGTAAAGATCCAATATATTCCTAACTGCTTCTGTAGCTCGCAGGCAATGGACGTTGGAACTCTTAAAAATCTGCAAGCCGATACAATCCGTGTTTTGGTGTGGGTCCTCTCGTTCCTGAGCTTCGGTTATGCCACGGCTGAATTCGAGGTGACTGCGGAGCGATTGGGTGTTTACCGTCCTGAGGAACACATCGAGTAAGTCCAGCTTGAGGTATATCGTTGGTGATTTGTACTGATTATCTTCTTCTTCACAGTAACCCCAAGGACTATGCCGATAACGAAGATGCACGTCAATATGACAAGCGGTTGCGCCCACCCGTTCGTGCTGTTGAGCTCGAAATCGACCCGAACACCGGTATGAAGAACTACATCGCCAATGAGCGAGGCGACTGGGCCACCAGCGCGGCCTTTATCAAGTTCAGTCTTAGCCGCAGTATCCACTATGGACGGACCTACACCAATGGCGGACATAAGAAGGGCAACGAGGAGGACCTGTGCGAAGCACTCCGGTGTCTGGGTCAAGGACTGCACACGTTGGAGGATTTCGCTGCACACACCAACTATGTTGAGTTGGCCTTGCGCGAGATGGGTTTCAATAACGTGTTTCCCCATACGGGTACTGCCACCCAGATCAACCTTCGAGGGCATCACGTTTTCCCGCTTGTGACGGGAACCTTTGGTATGGTCGATTTCTTCCATTCCGTGATGGGAGAAGCAAATGATCATTTCACTCAATCTGAGGTCAACGAGATGGATATTGCGCTCGGTGATGCCGCAGCAAATGCGCAGTCGAACAATTCCCTTAATGCTTTGACTGGGCTCTTGGGCAAAATCCCCGGTACCAAGGATCTTGTCAGTGAGGCAGAGAGTCTCAAGAGGTCGTCGGAGGCACAAGAAATGGCCAACCGGAGCCGTAGTGCTACAACCGGCTATGCGCAGTCGGGTTCCAATAGTCACGAGCGATCCCGCGCGGGGCCAACAGGCGATAGTTCGAAGCCTAGTTCTGGGCTCAACGGCATGCCTGATTTCAACCCCCAGGAGACAGTAGCCAAGATCTATCCCATTCTTGCATTCCGAGATAAGGTGATGCGGAGCTTGAACGCAATCATTGAAAAGATCCCAGGCTTGGAGTCACTCGTTGAGAAGATCTCCGAGACTCTGACCGTTGTCGTCATGTCACTCCTAGCGCCTTTCATTCGACCTTTGATCAAAGCTGCTTCCAACTCCATTCAAACCGGATCAGCAGGCGTTATTGATGCCTCTGGCAAGCACCAGTACGAACCGTGGACCGATCCTCACTGCACCGACCCCACCCACTCCTTGCTCTCCAAGGACCACTTTGCCAACATTCTGAACGAGCCCGCTGGACGGGTCGCCTCTTCAATCGTGGAGTACGTCGCGCCTCGCGTTCTGTATGCTTGGCAACACACCGATGTCCCCGAGAGCGAGGTCCTCAATGATTGCATGCAAGTCTTCCACCACCCAGCGTTGCGCAACATGCACATTGATGCCCATCGTGTAATGTTCGAGACCGTCGAGAAATGGGTTCACAGCCGCTCAGACCGCGGCGCTTCCCTTAACTCCGTCCTCAGCTCCGAGGGCGTGAGATCCGGTCGTAATACTGGTGGAGTCAGCCACACTCACAGCGATGGTCATAGCGGATTTGCGGCATTGGGTGGTGCCTCGCACGGCCAAAGCCAGAGTCACAACCAGAGCAGTAACAATGGCGGAAATTCATCTGGTGGATTCTCCTCATTCTTCCCCCAACAAAACCAGCAACAATCAAACAGCAGCTCCTCCGGCATGCCCTGGGACAAACTCTCCAGCATCCCCGGATTGTCTAGCCTGAGCAAATTCGAAAGTAAAATCTCCAACTTCCTCCCTGGCGGCTTGTCACGCGATGCAAACGACCAAGGAACCCAACAGACCCAAAACTCATACCAGGGCTACCAGGTAGGTGGTGGGCACGAAGCCATGCAACCTCCTCCACAGCAGTACGAAAACTACCACCAGCCTCAGCATGTACCTCAACAGAGTCAGGGCTACCAGCATAATCAACATCAGGAACAGCATTATGGTGGCTCGCAGAATCATCCGTCCTATGTACAGCAGGATGGCCACTTGGGCCACCCGCAGTCGCACGATTCTCACAATGGCCCGCCATATGGTTCGCATCCGGGTTCGCATCCGGGTCCACATGGTGGGTTTGGACAGGGCCAGGGACATGGTCATGGACCTGGTCATGGTCATGGTCATCCGGGTTACTAAGGATTAGATGATAAGACGAAGATAAATGATTGCGTGAAAATGTCGAGATCAAGTGCAGATGGATTGAAATGATTGTGATTGTATTTCATCGGGTGGTTGTTTGTGCCGATTTATGAGGTAGTGGAGTTTGGAAACACGATAAAGGTGAAGGATTCAGGGAACTTGAAAGTTGTACTTTCTTTTATAAAGCATATGAAACGGACATTGAGTCACCTGGGCTTTCTTTGGATTTACATGGGCTGTTGAGATTCCGCGCGGTATCGCTTAGTCTTAGGAGTCCAACACATGCGGTTTACCTACGTATGGGTTCATATCAATAGCTCTGTTTACTTGGTTTCTTGCCTCTATTTCATAAAGCCTTTGCTTGTTTCAATGAAATATACAGGATGCAGATGGCCACAAATACTTTCAAAGGCTCAGCTGTGAGTTGTACTAGAAGATATTGTTCTTACGGGAGGTGAGCAAAGGGGGCTGTTAGTTCCTAAACTATACATTTGATATGGAAATAGATGCTGTTAACAATGCAAGATTGATACAAGATAGACTCCCTTATGATTCGCAGTGTTTGAGTATTTCAAGAGTCCCTTTTCGGCTCTCTGGTATGTTTATATTGGCTGTCTTGTGAATTTTGGCTCTTCTATAGCTATATCCCTTGTCAGATACGTTTGTCTCTTTCTCTCCTTGGCTAGGTATTCATCATTTAGAAAAGATCTTTACATTTGCCGCAAGGCTTTGTTAGGTATTCTGGGCTTGTCCAACAAAGGGCAGAGCCAACTAACTCTTTAACAACAACAATGAGAATAGCATTATACGACTAAACATAAAGAAACCTTTCAATTCCATTGACTTCTTTCTTATCTCTCGGGTCTACACCTGGACTCTCCGGGGCTATATAAGCCCTTCTCTCCTCGCGTCGAGAACCGGAATTTGCCAACATTGTCCTATTCTACACTTCCGAGGTCGGATATTCAATCCAATACCAAATACAACCCAACTGTGTGAGTCTTGCAGCCCATATATTATCATGGCATCTGACGAGCTTTCGGAGCTTCTTCACAGGTGGGAACGGGTTGCAGTACTCTGCGACGCACCCCAGGCATCTGTGCAGTGCTATATTGGCCGAGAACACAGCACTTCCTGGACAATGACTGTAGTTAACGAGTGGATCAACGAGAACCACCTTATCTGGACCCTATGCGCCGCCCTCGCCGATTCCGGCCTCGACCAAGAGTGGACACACAGATTTGACCTCTACTACCGCAGAGAGTGGCGTCGGATCCAGTTGATGGTGCAGGTGACCCAGGGTGCTGAGCGGTTGCTGCTAAATATCCGACCCCCGCCTATGCTGCTCGCTGTGTTTGCCCACCACAATGGGTCTACGGCCCGGTACCACGCCATCATATCCACGCCTGCTCGTACTCGAGCCGACGGAGGCCTTCTGAATCTGTTGCGGCATGTATATCATGGAGGCATTTCCTCAACTGATGTCTTCGATGTAGTCCTCTGTGGAGAGGGTATGACTGGAATCGCGCCGGAGTCGCCTCCGTACTCTGCTCTCGGGTTGCCAGACCATTACATCCCAGTTTTGAACCTCCCACCTCCATATGAGAACACTCCCGGGTCTGACTGGTCAGAGCTCTTTTCTGAGCGCTATCCCACTCCGCCTCCTCCCTACCGCGGTACTTCTCCCGCCCCCCCTAGTTGGACTCCACCATCCTAATGATGGCGTGTAGCAGGTGCCTTGCTTGTTGGAGGGTTGGAGCATTATCTGAGCTTATCATGAGATAGGTAGCTTACTCTACATAGAAAGTTTTCTTAGTTCTGTCTCTTTTATCAGAATGAATACGAGTGGTTTTTTTTGCCAATTCTCTGTGTATACGTATAGTATAGTAAGCCGTAGCTATGGTAGCGAGATTAAATACCTTTTGGGCAGTTTATATGAGAATTCTCAAAGTTTAGAACATTATATATCTCTATGCATAAGAAAGTGCACGAACTAATTTTGAGTTCAAGCTGTACTTCTAGGAACAAATATAGGGCAAGAAGACGAATGTCACAAACTTTATCTGAGAGTATATTTTATGCTCTAATATCCAAAAATAACCCAAGGCTGTGTAGGCTGGTCGCCTGATGCCAAAAATAGTAGGAGCCAATAATCGTGTGTAGATCAAGCGGTGATAGTATCTCCAACAAGCAATGATCGAGGGTCAGTCGAAGGCCTAAGTTTGTCGAGCGCATCAACCCTTGCAGTGTAAGACTTTGTTTCAACGGCAATAGCTTATCATTCGATAATCTGGGGATCTAAATACGTTTGTCCAGCTGATTACAATAACTACAATGTAAGTCTACGTCAACATTCAGTCATACTCCTATTCTTACGTGTCAGTTTCTCGTGTTCATGTCTCAGTTGAACTTTCCAACATGTATATGTACAGGGAAGAAGTATAAGAGAGTCGTCAACACCATCAGGATACGCTTCAACAGCAAACATTAGTCCGGCAAAATTAAGATGAAGAACATGTCAATTTGCGCTCTCATCTTGGCGACTGCCACCTCCATCCTCGCTGCACCCAGCGCTGTGTTGCCCGTCCTGGAGCCGCTGCAACTTACAAATCTCAACGCAGCCATCTACAGCACAAGCCCCCCGCAAACCTGCTTCCTCTCTTTTGCTGTCAAAGACCCAAACACGAATACAGACACCAACTGCTCCGCTTACTGGTATGTTCCAGTCTATATCCCAACTTTCTTCTCTATGTTTAAGATCCCCTACAAGATCAAAGCAAAAAGGATATGAAGGATACTGACTTTTAGATAGGTCCTTTGGAATGGCTGGAAATAAGACCTACGACTGCTCCGACAAGGCATACCAGCTCCACCTGCCAAATGGAATCTATGATATTGAAAACATCGATTTGGGAGTCTCCCGTGCAGACGGCTCTGAGACTGGGCGGTCACTTGTGACTGGCGACCTGTGGAAATGCGAGAAGCAGGAGTATCCTAAGGCACAGTGCAAGTGGGATGGTATTTTCAGTCTCGATGTGACTCCGTCTGCTTGAGTGAGGGTTTGTGCGTATGTAAGGAGAGAAGGCAGTATTGCTACTAGGGCTATATATGTGGAGATGCTATTTTGCTTCCTTCTTTGGTCTAATTTGGTCTAATTGGCATTTGTCTCTTGCGTTGTTGCTTCTAAATATACTTTAACCTGTTCTTATTTCTGATCTGAAACACTCTGTAGTGTAGCTAGCATAAATCTAGCAACGGGTTCGAGAGACCCCGGCTATCCATGAGATGAAAACGGCAGGGGAACCAATCAAAGCCCTATATCAAGAAAATTGAACACTCACTCACACTTTTATATCGTTGGAGGTCAAGTCCAGCCAATCTGGGAAAACCCCTGCTGACTCATCTTACCCACTTCGGGTGCCCATGAGGTCAGACGCGTGAGGTCTCGGCGCTACACCTAAAAATGTGGTCTTGAATTCCGTCGATCTTTGCAATCAAGTGGATTCTTCTGCCTCATCCCTGATGAATAATCTTGATGATTCAGCAGCGAGTGCCCCTCGTGATGACCGATAAGGCTCCTCGACACCTATAAGGAGTATTACGATATTACTTTATGGACGACGCTACTTGCCCACGGGGCGCAAAAGGGCGGAGCGCTTGCGATCTATGTCGCCACCGAAAGGTAATATCCACAATGCCTGTGTGCGTCCTTAATCTGATTTTGCCGACAGATCCGCTGTGATAGAAATCAACCAGCCTGTGAGAATTGCCATCTTGCAGGACTACCATGTACATTCTCTCGGCCTCTATCCCAGCATCGGAAAAGTACCCGACAGTAAGACTCTATATCATTGAACCCTTCTTTACCAGGCGCTTACGGTACACAGAGAGCTTGCCGATACCAAAGCTCGGGTTCGGGAATTAGAGGCCTTGCTCGGACTTAAAGGATCCACAAAACAAAGCCACAAAGCGCTAGCTATCCCTTCTCCGAGCAGAAGCTCTTCTCCAGCGTCACCTAGATCCCTGTCGGAAGCGTCTTTATCTTATTTGCCCGATACTCGTGATTTTGATACCGCGTTGGCAGCTTTCCAGTGGCACATCTCGTATTGTGGGCTTGGGGGTGCCCTTTCGACGCAAAGGGCAGCTTTTTCCTCTCTTGTTCAAGAGCAGACAGGCTGTACTTTCAATGTGGATGTTTTTTCTCATGAGGTCACTCAATCTTTCAATTCACAACAGCTCAAGTCGACAAAGAAAGTGATTGGGATCAAATGGCCAGAGTCTGCTCTAGTCCAACGGTGTTTGGAGTATTTTGATAGAAATGGTCTCTATTCTATATTTCCAGTTATCGATGTTGAGGCCGTGCAGGTTCTACTCAATGCAAGGGTCTTAGACCGGCCTCCAAACATGACTCGGGCTGCGAATCGGGCTTGTCTAGCTGCTTTTGCGGCAATGATCACCCAGATCCACCGCCATGAGCGGGCTTTCGCAGGCACTGACCCGGATGCTTATTTGCAAGCAGCGTTAACACTCCTTCCTGAGATGCTACTGGAGCCACCTGATCTACGGACCTTGGAAGCGGTGACAATACTAGTAGGTTCCTCGCATGTCCAACCCCGAGAGTGGATCCCATGTCCCAGAAGCTTATATGTGGCCATAGATGCTCTATATCGCCCCTCTTGGCAGACCTCAGGCAGCAGAGCTTCTTCTTGGGATTGCAGTGCAGCTCATCTATAACCTTGGGGCAAACAGAATACAAACCCCCAATGAGATACACAGGACAGACCAGCGTAGCCAACATCTTCGAGCTCTATTCTGGCATTGCTATGCTGTCGACAAAGAATTCTCTATCCGAAAATCCCAACCACCCTTGATAAACGATGCCGATTGCGATCTAGATCTGCCCACGACATACGCCCAGGAAACCTCAGAACGTCACTTCTACATGAAGCCCTTGTCATCCAAGGAGCTTCTTTTCCCCTCGGACCTCCGCTTTTCTG